GTGTGGACCAATATGAATGTATAGCGATAGTCACTGACCCACTTGCTGCCCGCGCTCCTAGATGGGATCTGCGTCTCCATCAGACCCCGGCTCAAAGACATGCTTCACTGGCTTCATGGAGCACTTCCCCAACAACCCACGCGTCTTCGGGCTGGAATATCGTCTGACCAGGGGACACCCGCTCGGGAGGGCGAATCCATTCCCTTCTGCCCTCATCGACGCTATCGCCGGCTACCGCTATCTGGTGCAGGACGTCGGGTTCGAGCCGCAGAATATCCTGCTGAGCGGTGATTCCGCGGGCGGGAACCTTGCGTTTGTGCTCGCGTACTACCTCGCGACATACCAGCTCCCGAATCTACCAAATGCGGGCGGATTGCTCCTCCTGTCGCCTACGGTGGACTGGGCGAATACCCACACAGGCGCGCGGTCGTCGATGGTGCGACACTCGCGCACAGACTATGTTGGGCCGATCTTCGATTCTGGGTACACGAAGGATACGTTGGTGGGTGACCTGCCCGCGGAGACGGCATCGAGCGTGTGGATCTCGCCTGCGTCGTTGAAGACGAAGGTGTCGACGGGAATGTTCTCGCAGATTCCGCGTACATGCATTGTGGTTGGCGGAGAGGAGATGACGCTGGATCCTGTGGTGACGCTGCGGGACCGGCTGCAAGCGGACATGGGGAAGGAGGCGGTGACATACATCGAAGCGGTCGATTGCACGCACGACTTCCTGACGATGGGATGGCACGAGCCTGAGAGGACCAATGTATTGCGTGAGGTTGCGGTGTGGGTGGACAGGCTCTGGAAATCAGTGTAGTCCACGATGACTCTCGTGCCGTGTGTTGCTGTTTCGATATCTTGGTGCCAAGTGCTTCGGTGTCTGTTTCTTTAGCCTTGACGGCGTGTCCTGCGTTTCTGTACTCATTCGTGTAATGTGAATTAGGAGCTTCTCTGACATGTGCCATCAGCGCTCGGTCTGCGAAGGGATACTTGCATGTCTGCTTATTCAATTTCCGCTTGTCCTCATGACTGGTTCCTTGTCGGACGTTTCCTTGTCCACCAACAATGGGTGTGCACGACGTCAGGGCCTTCAGTCCAATCCAGGAGCTGTCTGTAAGGATGACTCGTTCAGTTTCGGTACACAAGATTTGCACGCGAGCATTTGCAGGTATTTTCTGCCGGAGAAACGTTCGGACGCTATGGAGGCTGCACCAAAGAATGACCCGTGGGACAACTCGGGGGAGATACTACAAACGCTAAATTCAGATTAACACGAGAATTCCTCAATGTTTCAGGCTGGGGCTGCGCGTGAAACCTAAGTGCTGGTCGGGCCTTTGCACACGGTCTTGAACGGCATTATTAGAACGTCGCGAGTGGCATGACCCCAACATCACGTTTGGGAATAGGACTGAACGTTGAACCACCCTGATCGATTGAAGCGATATTACAAGGTTTAGCCAGCCTATATCCAATGTGACTCAGATGTCCGACGCACCCGGCAGTGAAGAGGTGCAATATGACAGGCTGCGTTGCAATCTATATCCTACAACTGCTTGAATTCTTCTGATTGTTAATCACTGAGGGGAGAGCTCTGCTGGGATCCTTGACAGCGAGAGACCTTTTTCAGGTGCGCCACACTGATCCCCGTTCACCAAGAAGGCAAGATCTCGACGTGAATGCCTACCGGCGGGCATAGGAGAGATATGGTTCAAGATGGACGCACGGTAATGTAATTCCGTCAACAGCGCATCTGTATGATGAGCAACTCTAGACAGAGGGTGCTGGTTTTCATACACAGAAGTCAGAAGCCTAGGCACCGTTTTCTGGCGAATGCGGATCAGTACGACTCACTGATAGTAGAGGGTCAAGAGAGATGCATGCCGCTTGATAACGAGTCTCGTAACTCACTGCTGTTGCATGATGTGAGCCGTGTATGTCATAAGAACGCTCCCGCAGTGAGTCAGTTGTACGAACGACGAAACAAACACTGGACCCATAGAAGCACACTCCAGCGCGTGGGAGAAATAAATGTCAAGATGTCATGAAGGAGGGCACCGAAATGTTGTTAACGTTCATTGGCTACATCATCAGATTCGTCACATCAAGTTAGATCTGTATGTTCTCATGGCTCACATCTGTCACGGGATACGTGTTGACGATGGAGTTTGACGATTGATGCATCGTCCTGAACCCACATCAGCAGCAGGTAAGACCTAAGGCATGTTGGGCTCAATGTGTGCGTAAGCGGGCCCCGGGAGGAGATGGGCGGGCTATAGAAACATAACGTCCTAATTTAATGAATGGTGGCGGGAATCGTACTTTGCCGGGTGCAGCTTGGTCGGGACCATAATCGCGACCGTTGACTTCGGATCCTGCATCATGTGAGAACGACGCCGGAAAGACCGCCGGCAGACAACGTCCTCGATGGACAGGGATCAATGGTGGATCAGGTTACAAACCGATGGGGCTACCTACGGCGCGCGACGCCTACATAAGTCCTATTCCCACACCGGCGCACGACCACGTGACCCGGGCCGGCAGCGACGCTTGCCCGACATACCCAAAAGTCAACACTCCCCCTCAAGCGAGCTGCCGTTAGCCTACGCTCAATCAAAATGCAAAGACATCCTCCACGACCGCCAAGCTCGCATGAGTCCTTTTGTCTGGACAATTCCGTCGAATGTGCCCAACCTTTCCACAGCGAAAACACGTCACCTTGCCCCCTGAAGCTCCCCCTGAAGCTGCAACGTTGGCGACAGTCACCTCGCCATTGTCCCGCCGCTTCCCGAGCCTCGTCTCCTCATTCAGCAGCTTTGCACACACATTGTCAAATGTGCGCTCCCTTGTCGGCATCTCGTCAACCACTGTGACCACCCGCTCGAAGTCCTCGCCAAGTCCCATGATGAGAACAAGGACCTTCTGCTGGTCCGATACCTCGACGTCGACATCCCGGAGCGCCCGTGCATAGCCTTTGACCCGGGAGATCCAAGCCTGTGCTGTCTTGCCACCTTCCATCTCCGCGCGGTAAAACTGCTGCCACTTTGCCAGCTCCGTGGCGAAACCTCGTGAACGGTGCGCATCCTGGAGGACCCGCCAGCACTCACGGGGGTCCGTTTCATCCTCCAACAGCTCCAACTGGTTGTCACCAACCCGGAGCACGATCTCCGCCCGCGCCTTGGCCATGTCAGCCTTCTTCCGCTTCTTCAGCTCCTTCGCTAACGCCTCAGCCCCGTCTTCCCCCTCCTTGGGCTCCACCTCGACTTCCACTACCCCCCACAGTCCCTTCCTAACCAGCTCTGCCTCCATCTTCATTGCCCAGACCCGATACTTCCCCTCGACCAAGAGGGGGAACTTGGTGTCATGCTCCGAAGTCATGTTGGCGCCAGTACCAGACGAGAGAGTAGTATAGCGAGGTTCTAGGCAACAGCAAAGCACTTGATTTGTCGATCGGTTTGTGTGAGAACGATGCCGGAAAGACCGCCGGCAGACAACATCCTCGATGGACAGGGATCAATGGTGGATCAGGTTACAAACCGATGGGGCTACCTACGGCGCGCGACGCCTACATAAGTCCTATTCCCACACCGGCGCACGACCACGTGACCCGGGCCGGCAGCGACGCTTGCCCGACATACCCAAAAGTCAACACATCAACCCTGCTTGCGCACAGATATTCATGGGTAGGTCTATCAATATGAAATTAGCTGCAATGGATGCCTTCTCTCAGGATCTGGTCCCGAGCCAACCTCTAGACGCGCTACATTCAGCATACTCAAGGGCTCGGCATTGGTTGGATCATCAGCAAGGGCATCATACATTCTCTTCTGTCTGGCCAACATTGAAACTTGGAGCTTGTGACGAGATTCAGCGGCTGCTCGGGCCGAGGAGGTCCCGAAAGGCCCGAAAGTGAGATTTCAAACGCCCTAGATCCTGTGGGAAAACATCGCACCAGCCCGGTCCTGGCTTCCCGTATTTACAAACGCTGTGCCGTAATCATGCAGTACCAGTGTGCGAAGATCAGCCCAGAGTGCTGGCATATCGACACTTCTTGCATCGTGTTCCTGCGCATCAAGGTGGTCCATTGGCAGTTCCACATTCAAAATCCCGTGGATCACAATGGTGCCGTGGTGGCGCCGGTCACAAGATGTCAGGACACGTATCTGCATTGTCAAGAATCAAAGTGCGATGCAGCAAGGATCTCCGAAAGGCTAGCAATTCACAGTGAGAGAAGTCAACGTAATCCAATACAGCTTGAGTCCCAGATCCGTCATAGCGGCTCCATCACACATGTCAATTCGTACGTGAGCTCCGATCTGTCCGGCACAGCATCAAAGCCATATCCTCATGAGTATCGTCTATTGGCCAACGTCACTTAACCTACTTGACCTGCGACTACTCCATGCGCTCCTGATAAATACGGTCTAGCCTGCACCGACTGTCCCCGAGCTTGAGGCCCACCTTTGTGTCGCTTGAATCGCTTGCAATAAACAATGGCCTCTACTTCAGCCGCTTTGCCTCGGCTTGACAAGATATTCCTTGTAGGCATATGGCTAGAAACCGTATTGTGGGGTATGTGAGATGTGCGCCATCCTCGTGATGCACCACACTAATTCACTACTTCCTGCAGCCATGAAGTAGCTCGTGAATTCTTTGTGAAGCGACAGCGTACTGATAAATGCATTAGTGTTGTCATCTTCGCCAGTGCGATATGGATCATATTCTGGAAGCGCGGTGGATCCACCCAATGGTCAGCCCGCTGTAGATTATCCTCGTTATGATCTGAACGTACACCCTAGGATGCTGGGCATTACCTCTACCATTCTGTTCTCTTTCGCAACCATTCATATCTCAGTCTCCTTACAACAGCTCCTTGAGGCATTCATATATATTCCGCCCGGCGCATCCCCGCTCTATTCCACTCTTTATTGGACCAATGATACTACCTCGTTATCTATCATAAAAGATGTGCTCTACGATACTACCGTACGTGCGAGGGATTTCGATAACAAAGCACCTTCTGACTTTTCATTGACCACAGGTTTGGCTGCAAGACATCGTGCTCGTATGTGTTTGTGTGCCGTTGTGTCGGCAAAATACTCATCCCGGGATTGGTAGATATGGCGTCTCTATGTCGTCTGGAACCGCAATTGGAAGATCTGCGTTGTACCGGTACTTGTGTCCTCCATCTAGTGAGGCGTGCTCCCTGACTCAGAATTGCTAGCTCATCGTCGATCTGGCCCACATGGGTAAGCAACAGCCCACGACGCAGACAACGTGTCTAATCCGAGTTATTTTGTCCTTCGATAGCGGCAGCGTATGGCGCAACCATTCTCGATGTTCGTGGAACAGTCAGCATCTACAGCCCAGTGGTGAAGGGACTTGGCTTGGCTGGATGGTCCCTGGACCTCGTTGTCAACATTAGCGTCACGCTGGTGATTGCTGCGCGGCTGTGGTATATGGGAATGAAGGTCACCAGTATGACCTCTAGCCGGACGCACAGCTCCGATCAACAACAGAACAAGTATCTCGCACCCATCTTCACCATCATAGAGTCTGGCGCACTCTTCGCCGCTGTCACACTTGTCATGCTCATCCTATACCTCACCGGCAAGCCTGTGACTTTGGCTGCTCTAGGCATTGCCACCCAGCTTGCGGTACGTCCACACGTTGCTGTTCCCGCGATGTCCTAACGGTACTCGTGTAGGTGACCACCCCCCTTCTTATCATCGTCCGTGTAGGACTGGGCCTGACCCACGGCCTGCCTAAGGCGTATAAGGACTTGTCGACCAGCTCCACTGTTTCAGATTTCAAAGCAGCGACACTGTCTCAATCGAAAACATTCGGTGGCAGTGCCATTCGTTTCGCTCCGTCTCGCGATATTGCGACGTCAAGTGCTTCATCACAAGGAGAAATGGTGTATGTGATGCAGGATTTCAAGGTGACTGATGGCTTGGGTATCGATGAAGTTGCTACAAAGTAGTCAGTGCGCCTCGCGATGAGTCTATGACACCCGCCGGTGCACGTCAGCGAAGAACAAATAGTGATGTATATTAGGATCTTGTTTTCTCCAGTTGTCTTCCGTCCTCGCCTTGTCATTGAACCCGGCTGGTGAAACCAACGTCATGCGAGATTGCGTTGTCTTTGGCCGGCCCTGATTCTATTCATTATGAACATCTCCATAACACATATAATTATGGCTGTACTTGTTGATTTATGATTTAGAACAACGTATCGGAAATCACGATTTTGTATATCCATGACATCAGGAAAACCGGAAATTGCCTAACGGACTGAGGTCAGCCGTCTCAGCGGCATCAGAAGCGTTATGGTCAATTAGTTTGCCTTAGTTTGCCTTAGCTCGTTAGTCTGTTAGAACCTGAATTTAAATCCTTTTATTTTCGTCAGTTGGTTTTCATTAGCAGCCTCAGTCGCACTCAGCCATGTCAGAAAGCTTTAGTTCATTAGGTGACATTAGATGGACACAGTGCAAACTCTTTGTTACAAAAATAGACACTATCTATAAGCCCCTAATTACCACCATCCTCCAAATTTGCTGCACCCCTGCCCCGCACTCGCTTTCTGCATCCACCTTACTGCATGTGCTCCCCTGCTCCGCAGCCCATCCGCGCTTACTGAAAAAATGAGTAGGACTGATGGAAGTGTTGAGTACTCACCATTGCTGAATGTGTACACATGTCGTCAGCCAAATTGATGCGAGCGCGGGACCAAGCAAGGGTAGATGATGGTGAAAGAGAGGATGAAGCGCTGTCAGGCCTGGAGATAATTCATCAGCAAAAGGCCGGCCGGAATATCTGTGCAGGTGGCACATTGGCAATTTCAGCGCCGCATGTAATCGCTGACATGAGCAGCAATTCACACCGCACGCTGGCGGCGGTTTGCCAATGCTCGACATCAAGGTAAGGTCTGTCAAACCCATGCCTCTATGGCATAGGCATGCCAATCAGATACCTACTCATATAATCACAGCGGTGGGCGACAATCGTAGGAGGGGTGTCTGAGCGAGCGAAAGCCTGTCGTTACCCTGCCGGCGAGCTTATCTGAGCAGTAGCACTTAATAATTTTTTATTTATTTAATCTCGCAGTCCACTGATCTATGTTCCCTGAGCCTGAGTAAGAGATGCGTTGTGTGAGAGCAGCGCCTGACGAGTAAACCAACGTCTACAGCTGTGCGAACCCCTCAGTTTCGTAAATCTCCTCCCAGTTGTCCTCGCCATCCTCAGGGCCTAACGCACCGTCTTCGTCATCTCGGATCTGCTCCTGAAACTCACCAAAGGCGTCCTCGTGAAGCTCGTCTTCTCCATCCTCTTCAGTGAGTTGATATCCATACTCGAGCTCTTCTTCAAGTATGATGTCTTCATCTTCGGCAGCATCGACGAAAGTGTCATCTTCGTCGCCCATCTCGACATCTTCCTCTCTGGCAGAGCCCGCACTTGCGCCTGTATATGCATCAGCAGGGTGAGTACAAGCACTACATGTATTGGATCACCTGTGCTAGGTGACGAACCTTGTGGCATTGATTCTGTTGCATGTTGCAGAGTAATCTTTGTCGCGGCAATCAATGCACCAGCACCCTTATGCCCGATTCCACCTCCTAGATAGCGCATGAACATGTTGCAGTCGACATGCCTGCGCATGCATGTAAGTCTGTTGAATTTCGCGATCTGCAGCTGACAGGCAAGCTGCCGTGCTCGTTAACCAGTACTGAGTCAGGAACAATGTAGATTAGAATCCCCTGTATTTAAGTAGTGTGCCATTATCGAAGCACCCCATGTCACGAGTTGGTACGGCATCTAGCCGTTTTTTAATTTTTTCCTTTTCGCGGGCTTGAACCCGCAACCTCTGTACTACATGCCTGATATGGATGTGTTGTTATCTACTGTATGATCAGATTAGATAGGACGGCAGTGCACGGCACAGCTCAGGCTCCACTGACACAGCTGCTCTGACTCACCGGCCCCCGGGGCCGCATCGGCATGCTGCGCACGGACCAGCTGCGCACAGACCAATGCGCACAGCCTGCCCTTATCTCCCCCTGTATATAAGCCGGCCTCTGCTGCCCTAGGGACCTCAGTTTCGACCTCTTGTCCCTAGGTCAGTAAGCATCCTTTGTATTCCTTTTCTTACCTCACTAACTAATACATTTCTTGTCCCTAGCCTTAGGTTTGAGCCTCGCTCACCATCGCTTCGGTGAGAACCAGTCGAATGCCCCTCGCTTTTAGATATTCCCCTGTCGCTTGACCTCAAGTCGCGACAACAACCCCATTCAGGAACGAAGTGGCCTTTGCCACCGCCTTCAAGGCCCACTTCGGTAATCTCGACGATGAGGCGGCAGCACAAGTAGAGTTAGCGAAACTCTGCGTGGACAAATCAGTCCGTGAAAAACGCACCGCCGCGGAATTCTCCACGCTGTTCAAGGGTCCGGCGGATCGCTCTGGGTATGGGGACCTGGAGCTACGCGACAAGTACCTGAGCGGCATCCCCTCCCGCGTCTACCACAAGATTGAGCTCGAGACCTTCATCACATGGAAAGACACTGAGAAGCGCGTCACCGAGGTTGAGTAGATCCTCAACATTAGCTGGGCCCGTCGGCCTGAGCTGAACAACTTCTTCTTGGCCTGAGGTCGAAGATGCAGTGAGGCACATGGTGGTGCACCCCAGTCACACGCAGCTTTGACCAGCATCAATGTGGCCGTTGAAAAAGGAGACTTCCCTGGCAGTTGTTTTGGCTGCGGGAAGCAAGGGTACCGACATTTTGAGTGCCCCAACTGTAAGAACAAGCCTTACACAAAATGCGCTGATGCGCAGGCTACGGTTGCCTCGGGTTCCACCCAGGCAACGACAAGCGGCCCCGTCACTTCATCCTCGGCGAGTACAAGCGCCGCTTCAGCGAAATCGGAAAGTTCTGAGCTGGCGGACTTAATAGCACAGATGAAGTCGATGCGCGAGGAGTTGGAGCACTATCGGGCCATGAGGGAGGAGGGTTTTTGATCCGGTCTGCGCTTCGTGCCGCACGCGTCGGACCGCGTAATAATAATCTGTACAATGTATTGGCGACTGCAAATGTGTACGAGTTGGACCACGGGTCCCAGCATTTCCACATCCCGGTGCGCCTCAAAGGAGAAAGACAGCACAAGGATATCATTGCAATGGTGGACAGCGGAGCCACTACGAAGTTCATCAACAAGCAATTCATTACGGAGAATCGAGTACGAACGCGGAAATTGAAAGAACCAATTCCGCTGTACAATATCGATGGAACACTCAATAAAGACGGAAGCATCTCGGAGGTAGCCGTGCTACAGATGCAGATAGGAGAGCACGTCGAGAAGACGCTGTTTACGGTCACGGACATCAGTCCAGAAGATGTGATCGTCGGGTTGGATTGGCTACGCAAGCACAACCCTGAAATTGACTGGGAGTCAGGCTCCCTAAAACTATCACAATGCCCTGAGATATGCAGTGCTAGTGTCACGACTTGGTACGGCGTCTAGCCGTTTTTTAATTTTTTCCTTTTCGCGGGCTCGAACCCGCGACCTCTGTACTACTTGCCTGATACGGACGCATCATATCTACTGTACGATTAGATTAGATGGGGCGGCAGCGCACGGCACAGCTCGGGCTCCGCTGACACAGCCGCTCTGACTCACCGGCCCCCGGGGCCGCGTCGGCATGCTGTGCACGGACCAGCTGTGCACGGACCAGCGCGCACAGCCTCCCCTAAACTTCCCCTGTATATAAACCTGCCTCTGCTGCCCTAGGGACCTCAGTTTCGACCTCTTGTCCCTAGGTCAGTAAGCCCCTGTACTTACTTACTTATTCAATACTAACTTACTTGTCCCTAGCCTTAGGTTTGAGCACAGCTCACCATCGCTTCGGTGAGACTTAGTCGGACGCCCCCAGCATTCAAGTTCTCCTCAGTCGCTTGACCTCAAGTCGCGACATTAGGTCGAAACTCCCCAAGCTGCCGGCGTCCCCTCGGGACACCTTATAATCACTTTCCTTTCCCACAGGTCGGGTGGTGCGCACCCTTACGATACTCTACAATACATATGATACGTAGATAGCCCTACATACATCGCCAACACTAAGGGAACGAACTCTTCAGTACCTGCACTTCAGTGGGCGGTACTTGTCCTCACGGACGCGTGGACTAGGTTCCTGCTGCATAATAGTCAAAAGCAGTACTGGGCCCCACGTGAACTGCGAACCCTAGTGTCTTCTTGGGCGCCGTAGCGTAAGCTAGCATAGCACGGCCATTGTAGTACGCGCACCTCCCCGTCCTCCCCCCATCCAACGTGGCTGCCTGCCAAGGCCAGATCCACGCATTCAACTCCCAGGACCTCATCGACGTCTACATCCCAGACGGCCCTGAGACAGTCCTCTATCGTTGCGAGCAGCAACCGTGCCCAAATCGGACACCCCGATCGATCGAGGAGGATTACCCTCGCTACAAAGCGATCCGACGAGCGCAACACCCGCTCGGACCCCGAAGCACCCTCGCATCTCGATCTGCCTCGCGGCACTCTCGCCCTGTCTCCCCTACCTCCCGCCTTCCCCAAACTGTCGCCGAGTCCAGTCAAGCTTGAGGAGATCTCCCTCCAGACCCTGCGCCAGAGCCTGAGCCTGAGGAGGGTACAGGTGAAGAAGGAATCTCGGAGTCCGAGCCCGAGGATTCTACTGGGCCCGCCTCGCCGACAGCGCTCGCCCCCACGTCAGCAGTCCCTGACGTACGTAACCCCCCCACCGAACTTCCTTCGGCGCCTTCACCGCCGACTCCGCCGAGAGGCCGCTCGAGCACTCGCTCCTCTCGAAGTTCGACCAGCGGAGGGCCACCACAGCCGCCTCCGCCCCCGCAGCGTCCTCCGTCCCCCCCGACGCCGATAATGTCGTCCCCTGCAGCCGCCCCCGACAAGGAGACTTTGAAACTTCTCCTCCCACTCCGATACAATGGCAAAACGGTCATCGAATGCAACCGGTTCTTGTCGCAGCTGCGCATCTACTGGCTGGTCAACACGTCGCTGACCACCATCGAGCTTAAGGTGCAGGTCGCACTCAGCCTGCTTGATGGAGATGCCCGCGCCTGGGCCACTCCCTACTTTGCCCAGCTCGCATCGGTGCAAGTGGGTGTGCAAGGGGCTACGACCCCATTCGCAAACGAAGCGGCCTTTGCCGTTGCCTTCAAGGCCCACTTCGGAAATCTCAACGACGAGGCGGCAGCACAAGTGGAGCTGGCGAAGCTCTGCGCGGACAAGTCGGTCCGTGAAAAACGCACCGCTGCGGAATTCTCCGCGCTGTTCAAGGGTCCAGCGGACCGCTCTGGGTATGGGGACCTAGAGCTACGCGACAAGTACCTGAGCGGCATCCCCTCCCGCGTCTACCACAAGATCGAGCTCGAAACCTTCACCACGTGGCAAGCCGCTGAGAAGCGCGCCACCGAAGTCGAGCAGATCCTCGATATTAGCCGGGCCCGTCGGCCCGAGCTAAACAACTTCTTCTCGGCCCGAGGTCGAGGACGCGGTGGGGCACGTGGTGGTGCACCCCCGTCACACGCAGCTTCGGCCAGCATCAACGCGGCCGTCGGAAAAGGCAACTTCCCCGGCACATGCTTCGGCTGTGGGAAGCAAGGGTACCGACGTTTCGAGTGCCCCAATTGTAAGGACAAGCCTTACACAAAATGCGCCGACGCGCGGGCTACGGTTGCCTTGGGCTCCACCCAGGCTGCGACAAGCGCCCCCATCACAACTACACCCTCGGCAAGTATAAGTGCCGCTTCAGCGAAATCCGAGCAATCGGAGCTGGCGGACTTAATGGCACAGGTGAAGTCGATGCGCGAGGAGCTCGAACACTATCGAGCGATGAAGGAGGAGGGTTTTTAATCCGGTCCGCGCTTCGTGCCGCACGCGTCGGGCCGCGAGTATCATCATGTAACAAGTATAACGTATTGTCAACTGCAATGGTGTATGAGTTGGACCAGGGGTCCCAGCATTTTCACATCCCAGTTCGACTCCAAGGAAAAAGACGGCACAAGGACATAATCGCTATGGTAGACAGCGGAGCCACCACAAAGTTTATCAACAAGCGATTCATTATTGAAAATAAGGTGCAAACGCGGAAGTTGAAGGAACCAATTCCACTGTACAACATTGACGGCACCCTGAACAAGGACGGAAGCATCTCAGAGGTAGCAGTGCTACAGATGCATATAGGAGAGCACGTCGAGAAGACGGTGTTCACGGTCACGGACATCGGTCCGGAAGATGTGATCGTCGGGTTGGATTGGCTACGCGAGCACAACCCTGAAATAGATTGGGAAAAGGGCTCCCTCAAATTATCGCGATGCCCTGAAACGTGTAGCGCCAGAAGGACTGGCCGAATGGAGCAAGCAGTGACTGCACGTGATACGGGGGTCAGGCCCACGGCGCGCAGGCGTTCGCCGAAGTCCAAACGGTCGGTCATAGGTGCCTGCCGGAGCAAGGTGCTCCCGGACTTCGAACCCGAAGAAGATTCGGTGGAAGTAGAATGGGATGAGGCTGACTTGATCGAAGCCTGGGAGCAGGGTATCACGCTTCCCGGCGCCCCTCAGCTGTTTGTCGCAGCAGGGCACACGTATTCCCAGCTGTTCGCTGAGGAAGAGATCAAGAAGAAGGTCGTCAAAACCGCCGAGGAGTCGGTACCCAAACAGTACCACGAGTTTCTGAAGGTCTTCTCCAAGGAAGCATCAGAACGGCTACCCGAAAGGAAGCCTTACGATCATGCGATCGAACTCGTGCCCGGCTACTCAACGTTCCATTCGAAGGTGTACCCATTGTCGAACAACAAGCAGGAGGAACTCGACAAGTTCCTAAAGGAGCAGTTAGCGAAAGGTTATATACGGGAGTCGAAGTCGCCCATTTCGTCCCCCTTCTTCTTCATCAAAAAGAAGGAAGGGACGCTTCGACCCGTACAGGACTACCGCCGGTTGAACGCAATCACGGTCAAGAATCATTATCCCTTACCGTTGATCGCCGAGATGGTGGATAAATTCCGCGGCGCTACGCTCTTCACGAAGTTCGATGTCCGATGGGGATATAACAATGTCCGGATCAAAGCCGGTGACGAGTAGAAGGCGGCGTTTGTAACTAACCGAGGGTTGTACGAGCCCTTGGTGATGTTCTTCGGACTCACCAACTCCCCCGCGACCTTCCAGGCGATGATGAATGAGATCTTCCACGATCTCATCGTCGGCGGCAAAATCCTTGTGTACCTAGATGATATACTCATCTTCTCCACCAACAAAGAGGAGCATGAAAAGGTCACACGCGAGGTTCTGTGCCGCCTTCAGGACAATGATCTGTTCCTGAAGCCTGAGAAGTGCGAATGGGACGTTCCCAAGGTCGACTACGTCGGCTATGTGTTCGGTGGCGATGAGGTGGCAATGGATCCCGCGAAGCTGAAGGGAATTAATGAGTGGCCGGTACCCCGGAACAAAAAAGATGTTCAGAAGTTCCGGGGGTTCTCCAACTTCTACCGCCGCTTCATTAAGGACTTTGCTAAGATCTCGCGACCACTCGACCGGCTCACAGGGAATGACCCATGGGGTGAGGAAGAGCAGCACGCCTTCAACGAGCTCAAGTGGCTCTTCGCGACGACTCCAGTCTTAGCGC